TTTGTACCTTATTATACCTTGGTGGTCGAAACAACCCTCGGATGACCTCGAAAAGGTAAAAAGTAGCTGTTGAAATCAATTCAACTGATGAGGATACTTTCAGTTCTACTGGTGGCAAATGCAAACACGGACCATCTCATATAACCCCAACAACTGAAAATCGTTTTCCACCCTGCAACTCTGTTCCCTGTTCACACCCCCGTCGAGCCATAAATATAATCTTTGCTTATCCGAGAACAAACATGCCGCCTAGCACGCTTCAGTGATAATACGACATACTTCTGCTCCCCATTGCCATTCATAGATACATATACATCTATATGACAAAAGTTTCGGATTTATATTGAAGCGAAGATTTTGGATCGAGAACGCTCCTGCAGGTGACAGTTCTGGATTATCTCTAGCAAGAAGATATTGAACGGCGAAAGAGATAAACATACGGGTGGGTCTCATAAAGAAACTTTGGATTGAATGGAAGACACTCCAATACTATATGGTGTGAATTTTTATTTCCGTGGAAGCAGAAAGGACCATAATTCTAGGAGTTGAAACAGGAATTATAAATAAGAATAGATCGCAGTTACTATGATCTGATGCTGAATCTATTTGTTCAATTTAGTGGATATGACTCTTACGTTCTAGACAATATCGTGTCTCGTCTTATACACACACCCCTCGCACTACCCACTTCACTAACGCATCAGGAATACCATTGGTAAGTATTTTAACTCCAACACATATCGTCGATCTGATGATCTGTTGCACATGACTACCAATCCAAATTTTGCTGACGTTTCTATCCTGATAGTTCATACTTTTCTGATGCACTGATATCTGCAGCAACCAACCGAAGCCTATGATTGTATCAACTCCAGACAACTTTTCTGAATGGAGCAGAGGAAATATTGTTGAATCAATGCAACACTGTGATGACAAGCAACATTATTTCCAGACTGAATACGACCGGATATCCACATGGTTGGAAGAGTTTGGAAGAATAATATTTATATCCGTCAGAACATATCTATATCAATTCTTCACAGTTTGTCTCAGCATGACCATGTTGCCAAAAAAATCAGGGCGTTATTGCAGAAGTATTTTGCTTCATAGCAGATCTTGAAACATGTACAGGTTTTGATTCGTATCCAATTTGAGCTTATAAGAACAACTCGACTCAAACTCAGAATCCAGATTGCCAAAATCCAGATGGGTTAGCTCAGCTCGATTATGAATAGGATATTTAACAAAGAAGGAGAAACCAAAAGTCATTACCACGATAGTTCATGAAATGAACAATAATGGTAGATAATGAGACCAAAAAAAAAACAACTACTTTCCGAAATCTATGCAACGATTCGTAAACACGAATACAGCTGCAAGTGATTCTTTCCTGAATGCTGAGTACACACCGGTTTCGAGCTTTGGGCTCTCATCAGCGCAGAGGTGTCCCCAAATGGCATTCATGACCGCCTTTTAGAAACGCCATCTGTTTAGGAGTGTTTCTTGTCTTCAACTCAGATAGCGTTCGTGTATTATTGTTGTACTTGACTTTCTGAAAGAAGTTCAGCTTAGATGGCAGCGAATAAGTATACAATATTTTTCTTCATCTTAGACTGCCTGCAGGAGGTGTTGATATCGGACTCTTATCCTGAGGCTAGTTTAGCATCAGCTAGAGTTGAATAGGTCGATTCCATATGCGTTTCTTCCTATCCTTAGTCTGAACTCAACAATGGAGTGATACTGATGAAGAGAGACAGATCAGCAGAAGAAAAAACCTCTTCAAAGTCGTTTACCTTGTTCGAGATTTGGTGGTCCTGAATAAGAATGGATCTCCTGTGCTGTTTGACCAGCTACCATTGTTCATGGAAACAGTGAAGCTGGTACATCTTGATTTGTCAATTGATTGATGTAATAATAATGCTTCTCTGTTCTGAGCATTGAAATGGAAGTGAGGCTTTATTTATTGTATTATGGGACCCGTGGCTGTGAGGTCTGCGCAATTTCATGAGTATTAATGGTTCAAATCTGGTCATCGACCATTCTTTCTATGAAAAATATTCAAATATATAGATAATACGAGCGTTGCAACATAAAATATTGCAATAATCCAATAATGATATAGCAAGTTATTGATTTATTATTAATCATAAGCACGCACACTCCATAGATAAAGTAAGAATTGGCTGAGCTTCACCTGTATATGTATGTCACTTGATGGTGTATTCCAGATCAGACGTAATATCATGCATTCGGATATCATTTTATTTCTTTCAATGATTAATGGAGCGAAGTAATCCCTGAGATGAATAATTACTAACCCATCTCACCTCATAGTATCAGATCACTTGCTTTTGTCTAGCATCAATAATTCTGTAGATTATCGAACAAAACCCGATCGATAGAACTTACTGCAGAGGTGACTTGGCCAGATAGTTTGAATACAAAGTGCGATTGAATAGTAGAGGCATTATAGAAGCAAAGTGAGATATGTATAGAAATGTTTTGACATGTTTAGAATCTCAGAATTTACAATTCAGGTTTGATATAGTGGAATGTTTATAATGGAGTTGTTTGAGAAATTAACGCAACGGTATTTGAACAATGAATCAACACTTGTGGCCCACTGTGTTGACTCAAAAACGGTTTGAGCAATATATATATTATCATAGCTACGCTTTCTACAATGTAGGGTAGAATGATTATGAAAAATGTAAAAACTTGATTCTATCGCAAAATCACTTTCAGCATGCTTGTTTAATGTATTTCAGGTTCATTTGCCGAAGATAACACATCAGAGTAAGATTTCAATTAGGAAAAATTGACGTTATAGGAAACCATCTCTCCATTCTCGTGATGGAAAGATTACAATGTTCCTATATCCATAGTCATTTGCCGGTCTCTATAGTGTAACCAGCCTAGAAGCTTGTGCGAGATTTCGAATGACAGTGGAAAGAAAACATATTCGGATATACATTTTGAGAATTATTTCTGAGCTTCCAGGGAATTTCATAGCTTCAAAACTTTCATCGTCACTTTGGAAGAAAATTTGCCAGATGAAATAAAAAAACGAATACCGTTTACGCCTTCTTGAAAGTATACCAAAACGTGATGTGCCATGAAAGTGTTGCTCAAATTTATCCCTGCGGGATTCAAAGTGCCACTTCATCTCCCAAATGGAGAATTTTCTGAAGCGCGTCAAAACTATTCATGAATATAATGGCCAACGGGAAGCGTTGTAGTTGCGCTTATAATCACGATACGAATATGTTTTCGGTTCGAATCCGGCTTTGCTGAGCATTCTACTCAAGAATGTGTGATTCTTCGTTCTATTCCTGGCAGCACCTCACGGCCCTAGTAGTGGTTCGGAATCCACTATAAGCTGTAGGTCCCCCTCTTCCTAACCCCACACAAGTTTCGACTCCTAGGGAGTTGGCTCCCAATTTCGAAGTAGCGATGCATACAAATATGAAGTTATAGCTCGACGCGCTGAGATGACCATCAGATAGAAAGGCAGAGGATGAAGACATTCAGTTCGCTGTGTATCTAAATCCTTAACAATTTGGTTTTGCAGATATGACTAACTGAGTATGTTTCAACAGATACCACCATTTCTTGGAAGAGCTACGGGGTTCCTTTTTCAAATTGAAAAATCAATGGGCTTATATCACAAAACATTTTCATTTCATAATTCGATAGAACTCACCCAAACTAGCTCACCTTCTTGCCGTGAGCTCCCTACGTTTTATAAAAAATTATTGAGATCCCCGATTTTTCGGACCTCTGAACACGAGGCGATGATGTGACGTCAAATCCCTAATACTGAAACAAGACTATTCCAGACAGAGATGAATGATACATGATTTCTGACAGAGTGAATTAGCGCGAGATCACAGTTGAAAGAATTAATATATCAGTTGCCTCAGTCTCCGTCGGCCGTTTGGTATTTTCTTTTAATATCTGATATCACAATGACTCCATCGTGTTATTATTTGAAAAAAAAAACTACATGGGATGTCAAATTTCAAGCAATGACAGCTCTGTCTAATAGATGAGCATTACTTGACAGGAAATCAGATGGCTACAAGACGAAGAAATCAAAAATGCCACTGTCATCTATTATAGCCGTAGAAAAATTATAGTGTATAACTTACACGGAATGCTAGTATCCTACTCGAATGATTGCAGCATTCGCCTTTGGATCATGCTGCAAACGTCATTCTCGTAGGAAATCACTATCATTCCGTGCTCGTTGAACAATATACTATTTCTTGACTAAATAATTATTCCCACAGACGCAAAATGAGTTTTTCTAGAAAAGAGGCTATTACTGCAAATAGCACAGTGTTTGTTCTCAATTTTGTGTTCTGGGCGTGTACTGTGTTGTTATATATCGTAGGTAGCTTGGACGTTGTTGACGTTGTTAATGATGAGGCTCACCAATGAAGTTAGGGATTGATTCATTAGGCAGTTGAAATCGACGGTGAAAATTGAATCTACCGACTACTGTTGACTTCTTTGGCATGAAGTATTCCGACAATTTCCTGATAATTTCTTCGAAAGGAATTATTTGAACTGACTTTGGTGCGAATGTCGAATGAACAATGTCATAAGTGGAAGGTCCACATACCGTTAAGAATACTGCTTTCTTCTTCTCATTGTCTGTAACATTATTCGCTTGTAGGAAGAAGTTCAGTCTTTCAACATAATTAACCCATTTGTTAGCCTCCAGCGGGTTGAAGAGTTCTAGAGAACCAATGGTTGCCATCTGAATGTGTCCTCGGAAGATAGATTCAGACCTTTAGACTGCGCCAATATAGCGTTTGCTATTAATTGTGTTGATAAAGTATGAATACTCGTTCAGAACAGAAATTATGTTTTATTGATTTAGAACAGTCAACTCATTAACAACGTCAACAACGTCCAAGCTACCTACGATATATAACAGGGCGTGTACTGTGTGTAAGAACATGGAAACATCAGAGAATGCATTTGAAACTTACGTTTTCACTCCATTGCTATTGGCCACCTGCTTCAAGTAGGGATGCATCCTGTTGGCATTCGAGTCCAACACGGACGAATGACTCGGACTGATCGCCCCGACACTAGTGACACCTAACGAAAACTTTCCGCTCAATATGTCCATGGAGTGCAACATGCTCGCGAGACCGAATCACCTCAACTAACACAACGATATCTCCTTATCACCTGACAATTGTTGCTCAACTCTCGCAGAGAGATAAGGCGGATTAGATAAGGTTCACCTGTTATCACAACCCGATGATTTTTTCTGAGTTTTTCCGAGGCCGGTGCCAATGTACACCATCACCGGTGGCTGGTCGATGACGTCATCATGGTGCTATGGCAAGTTTGTGTTTTTGTCTTTGGATGATTTGGTATGGACAGCACAGAACACAGAGCTTTTAAAGGCAGCGAGTAGATCGGACAATACTAACAACTAGGCTACGGCCTGAAAGGAAGCAGGACGTTATTTCGGCGGTTTTTTCAGTCGATTACAGAGACACAGGTGCAGAAAGTACCATCATATTCCAGGTCTGTTATCGAAAAACTCTTTATTCAACGAATATCATTCGAATGGAACATGCACTGTTGAAAGGAAAGTCAATTTTGTCGTCGTCTATATTTGGATTTCACAGCGCTCGAAATGATGGATCCATTCAAAGTAACACACCGTTGCCAACATCATTTTGTTAATGTTCCAAGTATTGCATTGTTTACTGCAGGAATTTTTAATATCAAATATATATAGATATATACAGGGATAGTTATAATAGAACCGACAAACCTCGATTACAGATTTCTTTTTTCATGTTGATAAAACTAATGAGTGAGGGTTGCTGGGCTGTGTGCACGTGTACCTATATATACCAAAGAAGGGAAGATTTGTATTTCGTGCAATATAATTTTTCTATGACTGTTGAAAACTAGACCCTTTTAATGTAACATTTTTGTTGGGTAACTGGATGCATTACACAAAACAAGCCACGCCCCGTGTGTAAGAGCCTTTACACAACAGGCTATGGCCAATCAGCAACAAAGCAGATTCATTACCTACAAAACAGTTGACACCAGTTGTAATGATAATATGGTGCAGTGAAACGTTTGAATCAGACTCGTCATGAAATGTCATAATTTGACAATAGCTATCTGGCGTGATTTAGAACTGACTTTTTGTACAAATATGGATTCAGAAAGCGAAAATGAATTCAACTGCTCTCCACCATCGGAAGTTTTGAAAGCTGCCAATTCAAGTACAATCAGCCTTTTGCCCGAGGAATCTAAAAAAAGGTATGAAGTGGTTTGGCGAGAAGCAAAACTTGCAAATTCGTTTTCGGATAATGTACTGCTAGCCTATTTTGGCGAATTAGCAGCTAAACACAAAGCATCCTCCTTGTGGTCACAGTATTCCATGCATATACTAAGAAGCACAATTTCAATAAAAAATCATGTGAATATTGACAAATATTTGAAATTACGAGCATTTCTAAAAAGGAAATCTGATGGATATAATATATGTCAAAGAAAGCGAAGATATTCACTGCTGATGAACTCAACCAGTTCATCACTCAGTCATAAAAAAAGTATTGTATTCTACTTGCGTGTAATGGCTATTACTCATTCGAATGATTACGACGTTCCCCTGCGGCTCACGTCGCAAACTTCATTCTCATGAGTAATGGCCATCATTACACGCTCGTCGAATAATATAATATTATTCAATATTCGTAGCAGAGCGCTTTCGACTGTTTAAGTCATCATCAGTGCATACCTGTAAGTAAGTAATTTGCTTTTAGCTATTGAAAAAAAAATTGAAATTGAAAATTCGAAAAAAAATTTGAAAACAAGGAATATAGAGTTCGATTAGAAAGCCGGCATTACGATTAGAGATCGCGAGTAGTGCGATCGCGAGTAATATTTTGAATGAGTTTAGTATTCGATCCCACGCGTCCCTCGAGTTCCACTCCTAATGGAAAAGCATGATTTTTATTTTTAATTTGTATTCCATTTTCATGTTTTTTTTATATACTGTGTGTTATGTTTATTTTTTTCTAGTTTTTTTACCCTCAATTCACTTTTCATTCAGTTTACACCCCTATGTAAGTTTTTGGTAGAATAAAAATTAATCAGTTTGTTGAGTTGAATCTGGCCTCATTATTTAGCTGCCATACCTACAATTCTATCCCTGGAGATTTGAACGTGATATTATTATGATTGACTTATCCAGAGGACTGATCCATCTATTTACCTATTCTCAAAAAATATGAAGGATAGGAACTACAACTATATACCTATTCGCCACTGTTTATTCAAGATTTGATCCTGATGCGAATCTGGACATTCGTAAGTACATTGCTTCGAAATGGAGTATTGGATCCGAAAACGAAGTTAGTTGGTTTTATCGATAACGATCATTGAAATATCCATGTGTCTGGGAAAGTAAACATAAGCTTCTCATATACAAGCTATCAGTTTGAAACCAGTTGAAACTAAAACTACCACGATGAATTACTTGACATTATAAATTATATTCATCTTGCTCATAGACTACTTTAATTCACGCGGTCGTCTAAAGGATTTCATTTTCTTGATCGTAACGTGTCATTCGATTAGTGATCATTTCACTACATTCCATATTATTTTCCATTGATGAAATATTCTCGACTTTCCGACAGGTACGATTCCATAGTCACAGCATCCATTTTCTTGAAATTGTTGGTGGTGGTATAATGCGAAAAATATGATCTTGCCTATAACGCCTGTCATGTTCCAATGAACCGTTATGGAAGTAGTGGAATTTTTAATACCTGCTGATACCGAGTAAAAGCTTATGCATGCAATATAAATGAACATATAGTATATACATAGAAAAATCAATTGTGAAAGTATGGAACAAAATAATAATGCAGGTATATCATGAGTGCTCAAATTGTACTGAAGTAATTGGTTGTTTATTGACCAAATGATTCGTCAGATGGAATTGATGATATTGTGAAAGTTTGGATCATGCTGTATTCCATTCATTTTGTCACTATTAAGAGTTTTATTGAAATTTTATCCTTGAGATATCGACCTGGAATTTGATGGTGAATTCAGCACACAAGCAATGCTCAGCAAGACCCCTAGAACATATACTTCTTCCCAGTGGCAAATATTGTTTCGTAATTTCCTGTTGTGGATGATGTTATTCGGAAATATTTCTGAGGACATCAGCTTGAATATTCTTTGGTAATTGAGGAAACTTGACAATTGATCAAAGTTATGAATATTTATCAATAGAAATCTATTTTTCCTAACCTAAATATCGTAGTTCTTTCATGAAATTTATCTAATAGAAGTTTATTTTTATATGAAACATCTGTGGAAGCACAGGTTTCATGGCGTATCTATATTTCTGCCATCATTTGTTCGAGTTTTGACAAGGTGGCTTATAAAAATATATTATATATCATGCGTATATCAATTTGAAGACTCACTTCCAGTTCGAGAAAAATTTAAATGAGACGACAAGGGCAATATATCATGACATATTTTCAACGCCTAGGAAACTTTGTTTATGAAAAAATGTATATTAACATCAGTTCTTTCATGTTGTCGACATTCTTGAATATTTGCATGACATGTCACAACCAAATAAATCGATATGAACATGTTTCATGATATTGATCATTCTCAGGAAACTTATAGCACTTGGGCAGAATTCTCTTGAATTTATTGAGATGTTGAAACGAATTATGAAATGCCACTGAGAAAATACAATGAGGAAAATCACGAGAAAAAGACACAGAAAACACTATATGGATACAACTAAAACTGCCGCTTCATATAGGAGACTGAAACCTCTTCGAAGGTAATACACTACACGATTTTACCACTTACCAAATCGAATTTTCATACGCCTCTACAAGTGTTTCGCTAAGTATATTGGCATCTTCAGGAGAAGATCCAAGCTAGAGATTCTATTTCACTGTGTTACTTATGTACAACGTATATATGTCCACCCAACCGTGAAAGATTATCTAAGTGTGTATACTGCCATTTTTTCTATCACCCCAACATATATTTCTGTGAAAAAATTGAGGTGGAGAATTGACTGGTTTGAAAACTCTACAGAGGGCTATATAGAATAGGTCCATTATGCTGTCTAGTGGTTAATCGAAGAAGTTAATTAATTAACATTAATTCTACTCAATTATCTGGGAATTTTTCTCTTTGTATAAAAATATCAGTATCATTACAATATATGTGTAGTAGGACAAATCAGATAATTTACCTCAAAATTTCATTGCGTTTCAGGAAGCCTAGAAGCAGAATCCAATAGCTTGCCAGTGACACTTTGTTTGAAAAAACGTTTGAGAGAAAGGAATATACATAGATACATTGAAGAAATATTGAATTTTTACTTTCATCTTTGGACATTTCGGAAAGGAATCTGCTTCTGTTCTCAACATGAAAATGCGAAAATAAATTCCTTCTGGAAGTTGTGTCCTTATAGTTTAGTAGAGTAGAGTAGCACAATAAAAAAGAATATTTAGTTTTAATCGTATCCTGAAGATGCTAACATAGTTAGCGAAACACGTGTCGAGGCGAATACAAAATCGGTTTGAGCAGTGGTAGAACAGTGCTGTGTATGAATAGTTTTAGAAGAGATTGAAAACAGCGGATCTCATGCATGTGTTAATTATTATTCCTTTTGAAAAACTGAAGCCTTATACATTCCATCATTAAGTTTTATCATCATATGGCGTTGCTCAAAATCGCGAAATGGTTAGTAGAATAGGCACCAACAGAGAATAAAATGTCTGCAATTCACTGATCAAGACATTTGAATCGATTCTGAAGGGACTCTCCAATCTTGACCAGATAACGAGTATTCCACTAGCTCAAAACTACTTTAAAGCTCCTTTCAGCATCAAAACATGATTCTTCATTCAAATTGATTTGCTGCTGCGTAAATTATCTATATATTTGATGAAAATCTTGATAATCATTTCAACATGAATATACTGTAACTTCGTCAAGTGCCAACTTTTCAACTGTCCTACGTTACTCAGAAAAGTCTTCTCATCTGATTCAATCTTCTGTAGACGATGGAATTAGGGATAACATATACATTTCACACTGCTCTCAGGCTGGTCGATTCTTTTTGTATTCCTGAATATAAA